TTTAACTAAATATCATCTTCAATCAACAAAACGTTTGTATAAGACTATAAAAAATTGTTTACATAAAGACACCACTAAAATGGCACATCTGGTTCATCCTAAAATTCTCCAGAACACCATTTCCTGTTTTGCAAGATCACTTTCCATTCAGGATGTTCAGTTTTCCTCTTTATTCACAAGGACTGTCCCTGTTCTCATGCGTCTGACTGCTAGTCCAGAGAGCGCCGTCTCTTCATGCTTCATCTCACTGGTATTGGGATTAAGCAGTTTTATTCTTCACACCACATTCTTGGTGCGATCCAATGATAACAGAGATGAGTCAGCCTAGAGAGCTGCTGTCCTCATATATATAAATATATATATATATATATAGTGCACAGCATAAATGAGTACACCCCTCTCTGAATAAATATAAAATATGTATTTTCTTAACGATCACAAATATAATTCATGGAAAGATGGCAAAATTGAAACATATTAAACATATACTTAATAAAAACAACAAAATATATGCCAATATTTTCTGTAAGATAAGTAAATTAGCCAATTTTGTTTAAATGAAGGATTGTAGAAATGAGTACACCCTAGATTTAATTCAGAAAATGTATAATATTCAAGTACTTAGTATGTCCTCCAGAACATAAAAGTACACTGCTCTGACCCTTCTTGGCACTGAGTGTACAAGTTCATGACAAATTTTCACATCTGTGCTGTTTAACTCCTGGAGGACGACCTCCTTGAATGCTCTGGTCTTTAGTAGGGAGTTTTGCTCAGCTCGTCTCTACAGAATCCCCCACAGCAGCTCAAGAGTGTTAAAATCGAGTGAAATACATGTCCACTAAAGGATTTTCACCTTAGGAGAATAAATATATTCATTGTCATGCTGAAAAAATGCCCAATAATGCAGGGAATGAGGGGAGGGTAGCATCTTCTGTTTTAAGTTTTTGTATTACATCACACGGTGGTGTGTGAATTCATGACAGCGTTGATAAAGTACAACTCCCTCACACCTTCAGCACTCATACATCCCTATAGAAGAGCTTTACTAAGACTGAATGTGGTAGAGAATTTTAGGATGACCCAGATGTGCCATTTTAGTGGTGTCTTTATGTAAACAATTTTTTATAGTCTTATACAAACGTTTACCACTGAATCCTCTAGCAACACCAGAACATTTTGGATGCTGTCAGATCCGAAATGATTGACTTGGTCTCTTGAGACCAGAGTATGGATTCCCAGAAGTCTCTATTTTGTAAATATGGGCCCTGGAAGAGGTTAAATGCGTTAATTTTGCTTTGGCTACAGTAGGTAATTCTAGTGGTGACAACAACCATGCAGGTCACTTCTGCAGGCTGCGTCATACTCTGTGAGATAAAGTGTCACTCTTTTCATAGCTTTTGCCGGCTCTGAGACACTTGCATGTTATTTCTCCTGCTCTTTTTCTAGCAAAAACTCACTCATCACTAAATGAAAACTTAAGAGTGAAAACCTGATTATTTCAGGAGCCTTATCACAAGTCCATTGTTTTTGAATGTCAGTGCTACTTCTGAGTATGAGAAGTATGATTCAGCGGGCTATATAACACTTTTAATTGCCAGGAAATGTCTTTAAAAGTTTTGGTTCAATATACTTACCTGTTGACCAAAAATAGCCTTAAACCTATACACTTTTTTTTTTTAATTTAGTAACTTTCAGGAGGGTGTACTCATTTCTGCAACACATAATTTTATCACTTTGATAAGAAAATCTTATTTTGCTGAATAATTTTGGCATTCTTCTTTGGTAATTGATCAAGCAGGCTTGTTGGAACATTATATCTCCAAAGAACCCTAACATGTCTTCTAAGTAAAGAGTAATTGCTGAATGCTAAGTTTTAGAGGGGGTGTACTCATTTATGCTGTGCACTGTACATACACACAATTTTATGTAAAGATATTTTAATGTTTGTATCTTGAAAAATCAAGCCTCATGCACTCAATGAGAATACTGCACTAGAAAGCCTGAATGTTGGTTTGTTTTTTTACACATGGACTTGCACTCTCATACCTGGACTGCAAGTAAGGCCAGGACGGTCACTGCACAACGCATGCGGTGCAGCACTGCTCTTGCTTCTCGGGCAAAGTGGTGTAGTTCATCTGCCTCACAATCTCAGCGAACAGCTCATCAACCATGCTCTTGCTCTTGGCTGAGGTCTCTATGAAGGGGCAGCCCCACTCTTGTGCGAGGGCACGTCCGTCAGAACCCGCCACCTCCCGCTCGGACTCCAGGTCCACCTTATTCCCCACCAAGATCAGAGGCACCTTCTCGAAGCGCTTCACACGAACGATCTGGTCCCGCATTGGTCTGATGTCCTGTGGAGCAGTGTCAGAGATAAGATAATGAATAATTTATAAGCAAGATAAAACAGTTTAGGACCCCAAATAAGTCAGTTTATGGAGAAATGAACATTCCTTATGTTGCAATGAAATGGAAGAGGTGACAGATCTTTTCTTCCGTATTGTGACATGCATCCAAGTGAAACGGATTAACGGAAATGAAAAACGTTGGGCAGGGCCTTGTTTCTGTGCATCAGTTGTTGATTGGATTTTGAGAGTCACAAGTGAAGGCAAGGGGCCTTTAAGCGGACTGAGGCTTGTTAACGAGTTAATCTTATTGTTGTATTACTTTTGTGTATTAGGATCCCTTCCAAATTGCGGTTGTTCTTTATATCATGTTTTTCTTTTTCTGATTTTTGTTCTTTTTTTGAATAAAATACTTTTCTTGTGATCATAAGCAATACAAAATATGTACCTCATGTGAACAACATACATGCATTGTGAGACAGAGTTGAATAATAAAGATAAGTTAAAGTGGGTGTGTGAGATCACAAGGGATGGGAAAAGTGTATTTGAATATAATAAGTTTCAACCTGTTGCATATATGCCTTAAGCTACCTTTAAAAGAGACAATTTAAGATTTTCTGTCATTTACAGTTTGGCTGAGAGGGCTACATTTTGGTGCACTCCTAAATTACAGGAGTTCCCTTGCCTGAGTTATTTTCTGACCCCAATAGTGGAAATATGTAAGGATGTCCTAATTTAAACCACAAAATTCTATTTGTTGTACTAGTATTGCCAGACGTGAGATGCAACTCACCTGAAATGACTGCTGATTGACAAGACTGTAGACTAAAATGAAGCCTTGCCCGTTTTTGATGTACAGATCTCGCATGGACGCGAACTGCTCGGTCCCAGCGGTGTCCAGGATCTCCAGCACCGAGGGGGACGAATCCACCTCGATCTCCTTCCTATAGAAGTCCTCGATGGTCGGGTCATATTTCTCTATGAATGTCCCGGTCACAAACTGGACCGTGAGTGCGGACTTGCCCACGCCGCCGCTGCCCAGCACAACCACCTTATACTCCTTCATTTGGTCTGATCCAGGATTAAGCTACAGCTAACTTTATGTGCTCAGCAACTGCCATAAAAAACATAAAAATACCACAGCACTTCTTATCGAGGCGCTTTATGACCAAAACAACACCGGAGGAGCACTTTTATCGGGTTCGAGGGAATCAAAGCCCACAGATTCAACAGAGGACGAGAGTGTTTTCTCTGGTTGAATGTCTAGCTAAATCCACAACGCCCCTCCATCTGCACTCTGTCGCCATTGGGATTCGTTCATCCTAGAGTTTGTTAGCCACAGAGACGATGTAAAAGACAAGTATTGTGTCCATGTTTGGCGTCCGTGTGAATGGAGCGCTACATGACTAGCTTTAGCTGCTGGCTAGTGCTTTTCAAAGCGAGCGAGGCTGAACTCGCATACAAACGGCCCTTTCCTGTTTTAATACCGCTTCTGAGCGACGAATATGATCACCGGGTTCAGGTTTCTTGCTCTGAGATCCTTCCCTTCTTGTGCCTCTTTTCCCCGGCCCGCCTCTGCATATTGGCCCCAGACAGCAGCAGCGGCCCCGCAGCAGAACTCCTCTCTCACGCTAGCGTGAACAAATTGTTCGAATGAATCGGATCTTTCAGTGAATCGGTTGAATCGATTCACGGATTGAGCGAATCGGACTGAAATGGGCCCAAGTGGTTTTAGGGTCAGTTTAACCGGGACCCGTCTATTTCGAACATGTTAAATTTGTAAGAGCATTTGGAAGCAAGGATTTAACTGGCGTTAAGGTAATAGCTAATTAGCAGAAATGTAAAAAAAAAAAAAAAAAACGCAGGGAAATAAGTTTAGGACTCCATAGTATGGCAGTTTTATCAACAATTAATTGGTTTTTACTAAATAATTAGTTCCCAACAGATATAAGCTAATAATTTTAGTACTGATTAATGTAAATGCACACTATATTTATCTTTCAAATTACTTTGTTTTATACGCCTAATAATGACTGTAACAAATTGCATTATGGCACGCATGAAAGAAATACTCCTATTAGTAAAACTTTTTTATTTAGAACATATGTATGGGACGCGTCAGAGGAGACGTTATGACGCAATTACGCTCCGACGCCAACGGATAGTTTTTTTGAACCGGATCTTTGAAACAAACTGTTCGAAAGAACCGATTCGCGGAAATTAAGGCGGCCCCACAGAGGAGCTCCTTTTTCTCACAAGCCTCAAACGGACCAATAAACATCCGCCGGAAATCACATCTCTCTCACAAAAATGTGAAACCAAACATGTCCAAGACATGATCATAATGTAAAATTAGAAAAGAAAATGTGAGGAAAATGAGCAATCAGTGAACAGACTATATATATATATTAATATCATTGGCAATTTAAAACGTGTAATTGTGAAGTGGTCAAAGAGCTGTCTCTGTTAGTGTACTCACCTTGGGCATCAGTGATGACATTATCTTAGCATGTCCAGTGATTCGAATAGTTTTGAACAGTTAAGAAAATTAACTTAAGACACTCTTAATTCTTAAATCCAATGATTTGTTTTGTTGACGTCTCTAGAGCAGTCTGTGAATACTACCAAGAAAAACACACACCAAACACAGTCCAAAACTGCCTTTAAGTGCTTTATTAAAATGTCAAACAAAAAGAACAGAAGTCTTAAGTATGTATATATTCCATACATTTATATATCGCAAAGGGATTGACAAGAAGCACAGTTCTTGAAGCACATACAAGCACAATAAGCTAAATAGAAAGAGAAGCATTTCATATAAAGAGTAAAAGCATTCAGATTGATCTTGTCCTACAGTGGGAGAGAGAGGAATCTATTACATATGGCTTTGAAACAATGTAGACATTCTTTGAACGGTTCCACACACACAATAGCATTTACACAGGCATCGGCGTTGGTCACCGAACGTCAGCCGATGCCTTTAAAGGGACATAACCTCTGCATCAATGAGTGATTTCATTCGAAACTATACAGCTTTGTACAACATTAATGTGATGCTCCAGTCTCAGTGACTTCTACATGTTAAAACACGAACCATTGACGTTAGGGTTCCAGTCACAGAAATGACGACGACGTGACTGAATGTTGGGCACAGTTAGGTGGAAGTCTAACCTCAATGGCTTTCTTTTCAGACCAGTCCTTTCACATCACACCGAATGTTTAGGCACAGGATAATGGACAGCAGAAGAGTGTTTGTCGATTTTCTCTGTCAAGCACAGTGGTAAAAGGAGCACCCCGTGTGTTCGCATTCATCTTCTGGATGCAAGTTGGGACCCCTTAGTCTATGCTAAGTCCTAAGTGCTACCTCAGCTTTACAGTTAAAAGGCTGAGGACCATAATCGATTGGTCCAAAGGTGCGTCTATATGCAAGAACCTACAAAAGACTCAGTCTCTCCCTCACTATTAGGGCAAGTGCCATGGCAACAAAATTATTGGCTTCCAAAGCAACTGTAGAGCACAGAATGTACAAGTTTTCTTCAACAGAGTGTTCTGTCTGGCGATTTCACATCGGATTTTGGAGCAATTTTGATTGAGGATATCCTGTGAGATTTTCAGGTTATTTGTTGGTCTTGGTGAGTGCACAAGAATGGAAAATGTCCGTCAACAACCAAACCAAACGGAAAACTGAAATATGTTATTTTGTATAACCTGCAGCAATGCTTTCCAGCTGCAGTCTGATCCTGAGGTGCTCTTTATGCTGCCCTCTTGGTCTTCCTGTAGGGGGCAGAGTGTTATTACACCCCCTTTTTCATGGCATCCCATGGGACTACACAGAAAACAAAACTGTGAGCCTGAAACTCGCACGACGTAGAGGTACAAGAGAAACAAGGTGGCCATTCTTTGGTTTCTGGACACAACCGCACCTCAGGATCAGACGCAAGCAGGCGCAGAGCTCAGGTCGCCGCGCTTTTGTAAGCAATGCAAAACTACAAAGCCTTTTTTGACATCATGTTCTCTGCAAAATGCAATATCATGCGTAACGATGAGAACGAGGGCATTAGCAAACAGAACAAACAACAAATTCCTCGACACCCCAGCAAAACAGCATCTATCTCTTTGACGACCCTTTAAAAGGATAACTGTTCACCTGTATTCCGAACAATACAGACATTTGATTTGAATCTGCTCTTCTACATATATATATATATATTTATTCATCTATGTATATTCAAAATAAATTCTGAATATTTTGAATCAGTTATGTACATAAGTGCAAACAAGGTGAATAACACACATTCGTACACCAATGGGGTGACGCGAGTCACCAGGTCCCAGCACAGCTGGGGTGCAGTCTGGGTGGGCCAGAGGGGGACAGAGACTTAAATCAGGGGCTCACTTATGGCTGATACTGTCCTGTTACTGACATCATGGGGCTGCACTATTTATAAAAACCGCCTGGTTTTTTTTGTTTGTTTTTTGTTTTTTGGAATGCACCATTGCGAATGCATCGCCAAACCTTCTCGGACCAAATATGAGACTAGAAAGTCTCTTTCCCCCAAATTGATCCATCAGATTAGTTCAAAAGCTCAGATGCTGTTTACGTAAAGATCTGGTTCTTATCTAAAAGTGATTAGCAACCACAATAGAAAAATAATAATCATTAACAGAAATAACGTATGATGTCTCCAAAGGGCCTTTGGACATAAAGTATCTCACAAGTCTATACGTTTATATATATATAATTTTACAAAATAGTCAATCATCTCTTTTTCCAAGACAACTTAAAAGAACACATTCCCTTTCTGAATAAGTTAACGTTGTACATTATTTCACTTGAAGTGTGAAAAAATTCACAATTAAGATATACAAAGGTAGCCATGTTGTAGTTTTGTTGCCATAGCAACAAAAACTTACTATCATAGGTAACAATGAATCTATCATTGTAATACATACAAATGTGTATATTGATATATAGATATATAGATTAAGTAATTTTTTTATCTTAAACCACTAACTGCACAAACTATGATGTAGATTATTTCCGATTATTTTAATTTCATGCGATAACAGACTTTACGATGTAAAGTAATTAACCAAGTAACGCTAATGATCAAACTCAAACTACCATTGACAGCTGTGTCAAAACAACACACCGTAACATGACTGAAGTCGTGAGGATATAGTTAAAACAGGTACCGTTACGAAGATCAATAATGTGTTTCGATAAAAACTAGAATGACGATGACGATGCATTTGTAATACGTACACATAGATTATTCTAGCTAACTACTTTATGCAGGTATGCACACTTTTTAAAAAGTGAGTTCTTAAAATGCTAAAGCCCCCAATGAGGCACATTGTTTTTTCTTTATCAAGTATTTCGTTGATTCCAGCTGGATTGCAGTTGGAGAAGGCATAATTCTTTATATGAGAGAGAGAGAGAGAGAGAGAGAGAGAGAGAGAGAGACAGAAACAGAGAGAAAGGAGCTTCTACACCTTGGCTGGGCAATGGAACTTAATTACAAAACACAATCCAACACATCAATAAACAGTAGAGATCGTTCCTAAAGGAATCCACACATATTTGCCCCAGTATTTCTTAAAAGAACCTTAAAACACATGAACATTATACAGATGTGTTTACAATACAGATACTATTTTAGTTATAACACAGTATAGTATCATCTTGCTCTGATTGTGTCTTGTTTAGACCACCATTGTATATAATTTCACTTGCGTTTGGCCTAGATAGTGTGTGCTGATCAGGAAAAAAGTTGCAATTATGTTTTTAGGTCAGGTTATCACGTAAAATCAGCATTATGGCTCTCTTGGGGTTATGCTGTTGTAACAACATGGCTGTCCCAAAGGAGACAACAGTTTAGAGAAGGGTCTTTGAGATAAGAGATGAAAAACGCTTTTTTTAGTTTTTTTGTCTGTTTGTACATCAACAGTGGATGGCATTGGGAGGCTTTCACTTCCTTGATATGTTGAGAAAGGTTGTAGTTTTGTTCGAGAGAAATGGTGAGACAGTCATCCAAAACCTCTCGTGACATTCTCTCTGTCTTAAATGTCACATTCATATATGCATGTAAAGGCCCGTGAGGGGCGGTTAAATGTCTTGCAAATGAAGCTTTGGCTGATGAGGGCCTTTTCTAAGTACCCAGTCTGAAAATAATCAAAATTTCTTTTTTTTTCTTTTCCCTTTTAATTGTAACATGTCTACATGAGAGCTTACAGCTCACAGTCCAAACAGATCATATTCAGATGTCACACGGTCATCTGCGCCCTTGCATTTTAGAGTCTGCCGACTTTTGAAAGTAAGGACACAGTCAGTGATTTAAACCTGTTCACACTCTAAACATGAACACAACAAACACAAGAACAACTTAAATAGTTAGAATTCAATCAGCCATCTATCTCAAAGTCAAAATGGGAAAATGAGAAATGAGAAAATGAGAAACTCCAGTATGACCCTAATAGATTTCGTCTGTCTGACACAGTTTTCATGTTTCTCCATGGATAAACTATCAATAATGTATTACGGCAATAATCTAATAGAGCTCTTGGTTGGCAGAGACCGGAACTCTATTAGTGGGTGCACACGGCGTCCACTGATGCAGTAATAAAAACAGCTGCTGAAAACCGCCCTACTGTGAGTTTCCCAACTGTAGCACTCGCTTAATGAACGGTAGCAATAACTGAGATGTTTCAAAACAAAGCACAAGATAATAGCTTGCTTGAATAGATTTAGATTTGTTGCTTGGGTGGGCACATTTGCAATATTGCAATTTAAATCCATCTGGCTCATGACCTTGGCATGTCAAGGCCTGATTGTGCAGTCTGAGTTCTCCAGTGATTGGCACAGGGTGACCTGTCTGAGAGTCACTGGCACAAAAGCAGTGCACTTGACATGTCTGTGCAGGGGGTCGCATATGCTGCTGAATACAGCAAACTGGGAGAGATACTGGATATTCAAATCAGGTGTGACTTCTAGAAAGGATTTTGCAAATATCCTTGTGATTTTAATGATAGGGATTTAACATATGTGTACCAATCAGAGTGTTTAAACCACTAAACATGCAGTTTAAAGAATAATTTTGGCAACTAACGTACACTGAAAACCGATCTTATAGTACTCAGGGATGCACGAAACATGGCTGAACAAAAAGTGGAGACGAACAGACTGTCACGCAGCAGGAGGGGCAGAGCATGGATTTTGGCAGAGACAGTCCAGCCATCAGAAGGGGGTTGTCTATAAGAGATAGACATGGTAACAGGGTGAGTCTAATGAAAGTGTCTTATTTCACACCAAAATAAAAAAAATGAAAATTAGATTTTGCATAAAGAATATGAAGCCTCTTTTTTCATTTTCATGACAATTAAACCACATTTCTGTAATGCATTGCATGTTTTTGCACTGGAGCAACTGCATTTTTTTTTTTTTTACAATAATTTTTATCCTCAATAATTTTTTTACTATATAACAGGAAACATTTTTTGTAATATAATTGTTTTTAGTGTTATATTATATAACAGAATTAGAACAAATACAACCATGATACTTTTTATTTATTGTGCATTACAGTCATAAAAGTAAGAGTTTTTGCATTTTGGCAATGACAATAGGAGTGCTTAATTGTCATAAAAATTTGTTTCAGCAAAAAACATTTTCTATGCTTTTGGGATGAATATATATATATATATATATCGTGTTTTTTTTGTGTGTGACTATTTTCATGAAATTCACCCAGTAATTGATGAAATGCAATATGCTAATAATCTAAAAGGCAAATAAACATGACTATTTTTTAAAGCATTTGAATATCCAGGCCATCAGGCGATAGTTAAGGAACATATGCAAGAAACATTGAAGAACGAAGACCAGCTGGAATAAAAATAAAGTCCAGTTAAAATTTTCATCTTATACATCCAGAAGGCCTCAAATCAGACCTTATATTTCAGTGTGCATCACACTGCGCAACAGGAAGTGCTCATATTTAGTCTGCTTAAGGCAGTCTCGATGTGGAGCTTGAAATGCGAGGTGAGATACTTCAGGCATGAATAGTAACATTTATCTCAGTAGACCAGTTTTAGCCTGTTGGACAGTCATTAAATAAATAATACTCTTTCAAGAAAAACTCACAACAACACACATCCCTAAGTAGACGGAGGAACGACACATTGATTCTGAAAGGCTACAAAGGTATACTTTCTGAGTCTATGATAAAATGTAAGTCAGTTAAGTACAGAAGAACTGGGGGAAAAAGACGTCCACAAACTTGTAACTCAAAGGCACGAACAATGACATTTTAAAAACCTCTTAACAAAAAACCTAAATCAGTATCATGAGTGTCAGTATTAGATTATCTTACAAAAGCATCAATCATTTTCAAATAACCTTTTTTTTTCTCAACATTTTGAAATGTAAACATGAAATAAAATGTGCCACGTTCATTAATCATAATTAAATGTGAAAGAAATTACCACCACCACAACTATGTAAAATATCATTAGCATTAGGTGCCGCTCTCGCAAACTCTGGGTTTTCACAATCTACGACGGAGAAACATTCTGTCTGCTGATGATCTGCAATGACTCCACCTCTAACCGTACATTAGATAAGTCGGTTCTGATCTCCAGAGAATTCATTCTTCTCAGCTAATTGGTTTGCATGTATTCGTATGGCTGTGAGTTACGAGAGATCTCCGTCTCCTGATTCAGCATCCGCACGCTCCTTACGTCTCCTTGCATCGAGATGGCATGCTTCCTTAAACAGTTGTAGGTCCAAGCTTAAGTATTGCCTGTTTCAATATCAACAAACCTCTGTTGACGTCAAATGAAGTGGGAATCTCTGATATGAGGATGAATGTATTGCCCGTTAAGGACGTACTGATTAGGCACACGTTTTGTTGCATTAATTTTTCTGTTGTTTGGGCACATGTTGCATGAGAGATGGGTCTGATTAGGTTGTGGGATTGCGGGAGAGGCTTACTGGATTCAGCGTCATTGGTGCAGCAACCAGGAGTTTAGGAACGGGACAGAAATGGGCCTCCATGGGAACGCACTGGAGGTCGATGGGTTCGGCGCTCAGTACCTCGGCGGCGTCTACTGGAAGACAGGTACAAACAACCCAGAGATAAGGAGGTGAACCTCTTACAGTCAAACGAGCTATATGCAAAGAGAATATAGTCAATTCTTATCTTATCTACTGGAATATCAAACCAGCATTTCATTTCAAAAATGAGAAAAAGAATTACAAGAGAATGAATAAATAATGTGCCATATTGCATTAGTTATCTTGAGACTGTGGGCACAGACCTGCGATTCCACAATCGTAATTTTGCAAGATGTATTTCAGCAAAATGCAAGCGAAGCAGGAAATGAGAGCTGACATCTCAGGTCTGCGCAACATTATTGGTCTATACCTGTACTCCAGAATTACTATTAGATGCTAAACTAGAGCTGAAAACCACACAGAACATTTCGCAGCTTACATAATGCTCAACACAGGGTTCCTACACAATTTCCATTTCCAGACTTCTCTGTGGATTTTTTGGACCATATTTCATAATGAAAAATAAATGATTAAGGGTGCAACGATTAAAAGTTCGATTCCCAATATTGAATTCACAATTTGATGCTCTCACAAAAACTAGTGTCACCAAAATGTCTGTAGTCGGTCGGTACTAGGGTTGTAATGTTCATTTAAACCGGTTAACCGTTAACCGACCGTATAGAATTTTGACCGATTAATACAATCAGTTAAATGGTTTAAAGAGTAAATTTTTCATTTATAAAAATATTTTAAAAGATTTGCTGCATGGTTAAAATATAAAAAATTGTGTTTTTTAGAGAAAAAAAAAACACAAGTCGCATTTTATTATTTCATTCAGAAATAGGCCTAATGCCGACGCAAAATGTTTACAAACATTATAATAAACGCTGTAGACATAGCTAGGCTATTTTAGTTCCCCTCACTCCACAACAAAGCTTTTCAATTAACAGTATTTAGAAAAGAACAAGAATTAAAAATATAAGAAGCTATAGCAATATAAACGACAAGCGCACGCTCCTTACGTCTCCTTGCATCGAGATGGCATGCTTCCTTAAACAGTTGTAGGTCCAAGCTTAAGTATTGCCTGTTTCAATATCAACAAACCTCTGTTGACGTCAAATGAAGTGGGAATCTCTGATATGAGGATGAATGTATTGCCCGTTAAGGACGTACTGATTAGGCACACGTTTTGTTGCATTAATTTTTCTGTTGTTTGGGCACATGTTGCATGAGAGATGGGTCTGATTAGGTTGTGGGATTGCGGGAGAGGCTTACTGGATTCAGCGTCATTGGTGCAGCAACCAGGAGTTTAGGAACGGGACAGAAATGGGCCTCCATGGGAACGCACTGGAGGTCGATGGGTTCGGCGCTCAGTACCTCGGCGGCGTCTACTGGAAGACAGGTACAAACAACCCAGAGATAAGGAGGTGAACCTCTTACAGTCAAACGAGCTATATGCAAAGAGAATATAGTCAATTCTTATCTTATCTACTGGAATATCAAACCAGCATTTCATTTCAAAAATGAGAAAAAGAATTACAAGAGAATGAATAAATAATGTGCCATATTGCATTAGTTATCTTGAGACTGTGGGCACAGACCTGCGATTCCACAATCGTAATTTTGCAAGATGTATTTCAGCAAAATGCAAGCGAAGCAGGAAATGAGAGCTGACATCTCAGGTCTGCGCAACATTATTGGTCTATACCTGTACTCCAGAATTACTATTAGATGCTAAACTAGAGCTGAAAACCACACAGAACATTTCGCAGCTTACATAATGCTCAACACAGGGTTCCTACACAATTTCCATTTCCAGACTTCTCTGTGGATTTTTTGGACCATATTTCATAATGAAAAATAAATGATTAAGGGTGCAACGATTAAAAGTTCGATTCCCAATATTGAATTCACAATTTGATGCTCTCACAAAAACTAGTGTCACCAAAATGTCTGTAGTCGGTCGGTACTAGGGTTGTAATGTTCATTTAAACCGGTTAACCGTTAACCGACCGTATAGAATTTTGACCGATTAATACAATCAGTTAAATGGTTTAAAGAGTAAATTTTTCATTTATAAAAATATTTTAAAAGATTTGCTGCATGGTTAAAATATAAAAAATTGTGTTTTTAGAGAAAAAAAAAACACAAGTCGCATTTTATTATTTCATTCAGAAATAGGCCTAATGCCGACGCAAAATGTTTACAAACATTATAATAAACGCTGTAGACATAGCTAGGCTATTTTAGTTCCCCTCACTCCACAACAAAGCTTTTCAATTAACAGTATTTAGAAAAGAACAAGAATTAAAAATATAAGAAGCTATAGCAATATAAACGACAAGCCAAAACAAATTCATTTGGCTAAAACGAAACTGAAACCAATGATGGGTCTCTCATTCGACACAAAATCAAATGTTTCCATATTCGCGATGTATTTGAATGGCAAATTATTTATTATGTAGCCTACTTCACTCGCGCTCCAATATCCATGTGAAACAAAATGTTTTGCATAACATCACGGCGGTACGGTGATTACACTTAACGGCACAGATTTTACTACATATTTAAACTGAGTAGTGTGTTTTTTTCCATATGTTTGACTGACTGTATTTTATTATGATAATGAACAGGCTGCATTGTCAAGGTAGCAAAGCTTAACTGAGCGCAATCACTTACATTTTTTCCTTCTAACATATTTAAACTGAGTAGTGTGTTTTTTTCCATATGTTTGACTGACTGTATTTTATTATGATAATGAACAGGCTGCATTGTCAAGGTAGCAAAGCTTAACTGAGTGGCGCCGGCGCAATCACTTACATTTTTTCCTTCTAAAAGTGGAAACAACTACTGCTTTTAGTCATAAAGATAATCGGAATTGTATATGTTTTGCCTTTATTTGTGTACATTCACAATAAAAACAAATCTTTGTGCTTTTGGTCTTTTATACTGATAACGGGTTCAAACAGATGCCATTAATACAGGTAATGAGTGGAGGACAGAGGAGCCTCTTAAAGAAGAACTTACAGGTCTGTGAGAGCCAGAACTCTTGCTTGTTTGTAGGTGACCAAATACTTATTTTACAGAGGAATTTACCAATTAATCCTTTAAAAATCCTACATTGTGTTTTTCTGGATTTTTTTTTCTCATTTTGTCTCTCATAGTTGAGGTATACCTATGATGAAAATTACAGGCCTCTCTCATCTTTTTAAGTGGGAGAACTTGCACAATTGGTGGCTGACTAAATACTTTTTTTCCCCACTGTATATATATATATATATATAGCCTAGCTTTATAATGTTTTTCTCCGCTCGCAGAAGCGCTGTAGGTGCGTGATGTGATGCATGTGAATCCTCATGTTCTGTTGTTTGCTGCTTTTTGCGCATGTAAAATTAATCCCCGGGAAACAAATGTTAGTATTTTGAACGGGTCACAGACACTTCTAATTTAATTAAATTCTAATTTAAAATAATCTTGTCTGTTAATGGTTAATAATTGGTTAATGAGCGTCGGTTGTCGGTTAGGAAAAATAACCAAAATGAACATCCCTAGTTGTAACGATATACCGGTATGACGGTTTTCATACCGTAAACATTTGCATATCTACGTTTTTAAAAAAATGAATGAAAAGAAATCTCACCAGCGCACATGCAACTTATTTCCGCTCGGGTGCTTCACTCTGCCTTCACTTGGCTGCTTAACGTTACACGCACGTGCAACGGAGATAATATCTAATTTCCATCCCCGCCGAAAAAAAGTTAATATCTGCAGTATGGGAATACTTTGGATATTTAAAAAGGGGTCATATGATGCTTTTTTAAAGATCATTATTTTGTGTATTTGGTGTAACAGAATATGTTGAAATGCTTTAATGTTCAAAAAACACATTATTTTTCAAATACTGTACATTATTGTAGGTCCTCTATGCCCCGCCTCTCTCAAACGCTTTGTTTTCTACAAAGTCCCTCCTTCCGACAAGCGCAGTCTGCTCTGATTGGCCAGCTGACCCAGTGCATTGTGATTGGCCAAACACCGCAAGCACTCGTCGGAAATGTAACTCCCCTTACCATAATCGCGAGCTTCATCTTTCAAAATAA